GCCTCCCATTGCTGCTCCCGGCCCCGTAATTTCCCAGCCCGGTACCGCCTCTCATGCTGCTGCCAGGTCCACTGTGTATCATGGGTCCCTGTACGGCCTCCCATTGCTTGCTGGCTCATCGCCACTACTCTGGCCATCATAGGGTGCTGGCAGATTACGGGCCTCCCATTGCTGCTGCCAGGCCCGTAATCTGCCATGGGCCCCTGTACCCGCCTCCTCATGCTGCTGCCAGGTCCAGAGTCTCTCATGGGTCCCTGTACGGCCTCCCATTGCTGCTGTCTCCATCGCCACACTCTGCCATGTGCCACTTTCAGGTCTCCTCACACTGCTGGTGTGTTCCATTTTGTCATAGGGTGCTGGCAATTACGGGCCTCCCATTGCTGCTGCCAGGCCCGTAATCTGCCATGGGCCCCTGTACCGCCTCCTCATGCTGCTGCCAGGTCCAGAGTGTCTCATGGGTCCCTGTACGGCCTCCCATTGCTGCTGTCTCCATCGCCACACTCTGCCATGTGCCACTTTCAGGTCTCCTCACACTGCTGGTGTGTTCCATTTTGTCATAGGGTGCTGGCAGATTACGGGCCTCCCATTGCTGCTGCCAGGCCCCGTAATCTGCCATGGGCCCCCTGTGTACCGCCTCCTCATGCTGCTGCCAGGTCCCAAGTGTCTCATGGGTCCCTGTACGGCCTCCCATTGCTGCTGTCTCCATCGCCACACTCTGCCATGTGCCACTTTCAGGTCTCCTCACACTGCTGGTGTGTTCCATTTTTGTCATAGGGTGCTGGCAGATTACGGGCCTCCCATTGCTGCTGCCAGGCCCGTAATCTGCCATGGGCCCCTGTACCGCCTCCTCATGCTGCTGCCAGGTCCACAGTGTCTCATGGGTCCCTGTACGGCCTCCCATTGCTGCTGTCTCCATCGCCACACTCTGCCATGTGCCACTTTCAGGTCTCCTCACACTGCTGGTGTGTTCCATTTTGTCATAGGGTGCTGGCAGATTACGGGCCTCCCATTGCTGCTGCCAGGCCCGTAATCTGCCATGGGCCCCCGTACCGCCTCCTCATGCTGCTGCCAGGTCCAGAGTCTCTCATGGGTCCCTGTACGGCCTCCCATTGCTGCTGTCTCCATCGCCACACTCTGCCATGTGCCACTTTCAGGTCTCCTCACACTGCTGGTGTGTTCCATTTTTGTCATAGGGTGCTGGCAGATTACGGGCCTCCCATTGCTGCTGCCAGGCCCGTAATCTGCCATGGGCCCCTGTACCGCCTCCTCATGCTGCTGCCAGGTCCAGAGTCTCTCATGGGTCCCTGTACGGCCTCCCATTGCTGCTGTCTCCATCGCCACACTCTGCCATGTGCCACTTTCAGGTCTCCTCACACTGCTGGTGTTCCATTTTTGTCATAGGGTGCTGGCAGATTACGGGCCTCCCATTGCTGCTGCCAGGCCCGTAATCTGCCATGGGCCCCTGTACCGCCTCCTCATGCTGCTGCTGCCAGGTCCAGAGTCTCTCATGGGTCCCTGTACGGCCTCCCATTGCTGCTGTCTCCATCGCCACACTCTGCCATGTGCCACTTTCAGGTCTCCTCACACTGCTGGTGTGTTCCATTTTTTTGTCATAGGGTGCTGGCAGATTACGGGCCTCCCATTGCTGCTGCCAGGCCCGTAATCTGCCATGGGCCCCTGTACCGCCTCCTCATGCTGCTGCCAGGTCCAGAGAGGAGTGTCTCATGGGTCCCTGTACGGCCTCCCATTGCTGCTGTCTCCATCGCCACACTCTGCCATGTGCCACTTTCAGGTCTCCTCACACTGCTGGTGTGTTCCATTTTTTGTCATAGGGTGCTGGCAGATTACGGGCCTCCCATTGCTGCTGCCAGGCCCGTAATCTGCCATGGGCCCCTGTACCGCCTCCTCATGCTGCTGCCAGGTCCAGAGTCTCTCATGGGTCCCTGTACGGCCTCCCATTGCTGCTGTCTCCATCGCCACACTCTGCCATGTGCCACTTTCAGGTCTCCTCACACTGCTGGTGGTGTTCCATTTTTTGTCATAGGGTGCTGGCAGATTACGGGCCTCCCATTGCTGCTGCCAGGCCCGTAATCTGCCATGGGCCCCTGTACCCGCCTCCTCATCATGCTGCTGCCAGGTCCAGAGTCTCTCATGGGTCCCTGTACGGCCTCCCATTGCTGCTGTCTCCATCGCCACACTCTGCCATGTGCCACTTTCAGGTCTCCTCACACTGCTGGTGTGTTCCATTTTTTGTCATAGGGTGCTGGCAGATTACGGGCCTCCCATTGCTGCTGCCAGGCCCGTAATCTGCCATGGGCCCCTGTACCGCCTCCTCATGCTGCTGCCAGGTCCAGAGTCTCTCATGGGTCCCTGTACGGCCTCCCATTGCTGCTGTCTCCATCGCCACACTCTGCCATGTGCCACTTTCAGGTCTCCTCACACTGCTGGTGTGTTTCATTTTTTGTCATAGGGTGCTGGCAGATTACGGGCCTCCCATTGCTGCTGCCAGGCCCGTAATCTGCCATGGGCCCCTGTACCGCCTCCTCATGCTGCTGCCAGGTCCAGAGTGTCTCATGGGTCCCTGTACGGCCTCCCATTGCTGCTGTCTCCCATCGCCACACTCTGCCATGTGCCACTTTCAGGTCTCCTCACACTGCTGGTGTGTTCCATTTTTTGTCATAGGGTGCTGGCAGATTACGGGCCTCCCATTGCTGCTGCCAGGCCCGTAATCTGCCATGGGCCCCCGTACCGCCTCCTCATGCTGCTGCCAGGTCCAGGTCCAGGGTCTCTCATGGGTCCCTGTACGGCCTCCCATTGCTGCTGTCTCCATCGCCACCACTCTGCTGTGCCATGTGCCACTTTCAGGTCTCCTCACACTGCTGGGTGTGTTCCATTTTTTGTCATAGGGTGCTGGCAGATTACGGGCCTCCCATTGCTGCTGCCAGGCCCGTAATCTGCCATGGGCCCCTGTACCGCCTCCTCTCATGCTGCTGCCAGGTCCAGAGTCTCTCATGGGTCCCTGTACGGCCTCCCATTGCTGCTGTCTCCATCGCCACACTCTGCCATGTGCCACTTTCAGGTCTCCTCACACTGCTGGTGTGTTCCATTTTTTGTCATAGGGTGCTGGCAGATTACGGGCCTCCCATTGCTGCTGCCAGGCCCGTAATCTGCCATGGGCCCCTGTACCGCCTCCTCATGCTGCTGCCAGGTCCAGAGTGTCTCATGGGTCCCTGTACGGCCTCCCATTGCTGCTGTCTCCATCGCCACACTCTGCCATGTGCCACTTTCAGGTCTCCTCACACTGCTGGTGTGTTCCATTTTTTGTCATAGGGTGCTGGCAGATTACGGGCCTCCCATTGCTGCTGCCAGGCCCGTAATCTGCCATGGGCCCCCGTACCGCCTCCTCATGCTGCTGCCAGGTCCAGAGTCTCTCATGGGTCCCTGTACGGCCTCCCATTGCTGCTGTCTCCATCGCCACACTCTGCCATGTGCCACTTTCAGGTCTCCTCACACTGCTGGTGTGTTCCATTTTTTTGTCATAGGGTGCTGGCAGATTACGGGCCTCCCATTGCTGCTGCCAGGCCCGTAATCTGCCATGGGCCCCTGTACCCCGCCTCCTCATGCTGCTGCCAGGTCCAGAGTGTCTCATGGGTCCCTGTACGGCCTCCCATTGCTGCTGTCTCCATCGCCACACTCTGCCATGTGCCACTTTCAGGTCTCCTCACACTGCTGGTGTGTTCCATTTTTTGTCATAGGGTGCTGGCAGATTACGGGCCTCCCATTGCTGCTGCCAGGCCCGTAATCTGCCATGGGCCCCTGTTCTTAATGCCAGGGGCCCCTGTACCGCCTCCTCATGCTGCTGCCAGGTCCAGAGTGTCTCATGGGTCCCTGTACGGCCTCCCATTGCTGCTGTCTCCATCGCCACACTCTGCCATGTGCCACTTTCAGGTCTCCTCACACTGCTGGTGTGTGTTCCATTTTTTCATAGGGTGCTGGCAGATTACGGGCCTCCCATTGCTGCTGCTGCCAGGCCTGTAATCTGCCATGGGCCCCTGTACCGCCTCCTCATGCTGCTGCTGCCAGGTCCAGAGTGTCTCATGGGTCCCTGTACGGCCTCCCATTGCTGCTGTCTCCATCGCCACACTCTGCCATGTGCCACTTTCAGGTCTCCTCACACTGCTGGTGTGTTCCATTTTTGTCATAGGGTGCTGGCAGATTACGGGGCCTCCCATTGCTGCTGCCAGGCCCGTAATCTGCCATGGGCCCCTGTACCGCCTCCTCATGCTGCTGCCAGGTCCAGAGTCGTCTCATGGGTCCCTGTACGGCCTCCCATTGCTGCTGTCTCCATCGCCACACTCTGCCATGTGCCACTTTCAGGTCTCCTCACACTGCTGGTGTGTTCCATTTTTTTGTCATAGGGTGCTGGCAGATTACGGGCCTCCCATTGCTGCTGCCAGGCCCGTAATCTGCCATGGGCCCCTACCGCCTCCTCATGCTGCTGCCAGGTCCAGAGTCTCTCATGGGTCCCTGTACGGCCTCCCATTGCTGCTGTCTCCATCGCCACACTCTGCCATGTGCCACTTTCAGGTCTCCTCACACTGCTGGTGTGTTCCATTTTTTGTCATAGGGTGCTGGCAGATTACGGGCCTCCCATTGCTGCTGCCAGGCCCGTAATCTGCCATGGGCCCCCGTACCGCCTCCCTCATGCTGCTGCCAGGTCCAGAGTCTCTCATGGGTCCCTGTACGGCCTCCCATTGCTGCTGTCTCCATCGCCACACTCTGCCATGTGCCACTTTCAGGTCTCCTCACACTGCTGGTGTGTTCCATTTTTTGTCATAGGGTGCTGGCAGATTACGGGCCTCCCATTGCTGCTGCCAGGCCCGTAATCTGCCATGGGCCCCTGTACCGCCTCCTCATGCTGCTGCCAGGTCCAGAGTCTCTCTCATGGGTCCCTGTACGGCCTCCCATTGCTGCTGTCTCCATCGCCACACTCTCTGCCATGTGCCACTTTCAGGTCTCACACTCACACTGCTGGTGTGTTCCATTTTTGTCATAGGGTGCTGGCAGATTACGGGCCTCCCATTGCTGCTGCCAGGCCCGTAATCTGCCATGGGCCCCTGTACCGCCTCCTCATGCTGCTGCCAGGTCCAGAGTGTCTCATGGGTCCCTGTACGGCCTCCCATTGCTGCTGTCTCCATCGCCACACTCTGCCATGTGCCACTTTCAGGTCTCCTCACACTGCTGGTGTGTTCCATTTTTTGTCATAGGGTGCTGGCAGATTACGGGCCTCCCATTGCTGCTGCCAGGCCCGTAATCTGCCATGGGCCCCCTGTACCGCCTCCTCATGCTGCTGCCAGGTCCAGAGTCTCTCATGGGTCCCCCTGTACGGCCTCCCATTGCTGCTGTCTCCATCGCCACACTCTGCCATGTGCCACTTTCAGGTCTCCTCACACTGCTGGTGTGTTCCATTTTTTGTCATAGGGTGCTGGCAGATTACGGGCCTCCCATTGCTGCTGCCAGGCCCGTAATCTGCCATGGGCCCCTGTACCGCCTCCTCATGCTGCTGCCAGGTCCAGAGTGTCTCATGGGTCCCTGTACGGCCTCCCATTGCTGCTGTCTCCATCGCCACACTCTGCCATGTGCCACTTTCAGGTCTCCTCACACTGCTGGTGTGTTCCATTTTTTGTCATAGGGTGCTGGCAGATTACGGGCCTCCCATTGCTGCTGCCAGGCCCGTAATCTGCCATGGGCCCCCATGTACCGCCTCCTCATGCTGCTGCCAGGTCCAGAGTGTCTCATGGGTCCCTGTACGGCCTCCCATTGCTGCTGTCTCCATCGCCACACTCTGCCATGTGCCACTTTCAGGTCTCCTCACACTGCTGCTGTGTGTTCCATTTTTTGTCATAGGGTGCTGGCAGATTACGGGCCTCCCATTGCTGCTGCCAGGCCGTAATCTGCCATGGGCCCCCGTACCGCCTCCTCATGCTGCTGCCAGGTCCAGAGTCTCTCATGGGTCCCTGTACGGCCTCCCATTGCTGTCTCTCCATCGCCACACTCTGCCATGTGTGCACTTTCAGGTCTCCTCACACTGCTGGTGTGTTCCATTTTGTCATAGGGTGCTGGCAGATTACGGGCCTCCCATCCTGCCAGGCCCCCCATTGCTGCTGCCAGGCCCGTAATCTCTGCCATGGGCCCCTGTACCGCCTCCTCATGCTGCTGCTCCATGCCAGCCATGGGTCCCTCTGTACCATCCATTGGGCTGCTGTCTTTTGGCTCTCCATTGCTGGGCCTCCCACTGCAGGGCCCTGCCATGTACCACTTTCAGGTCTCCTCACACTGCTGGGTGTTCCATTTTTTGTCATAGGGTGCTGGCAGATTACGGGCTCCCATTGCTGCTGCCAGGCCCGTAATCTGCCATGGGCCCCTGTACCGCCTCCTCATGCTGCTGCCAGGTCCAGAGTGTCTCATGGGTCCCTGTACGGCCTCCCATTGCTGCTGTCAACCCATCGCCACACTCTGCCATGTGCCACTTTCAGGTCTCCTCACACTGCTGGTGGTTCCATTTTTTGTCATAGGGGGGCTGGCAGATTACGGGCCTCCCATTGCTGCTGCCAGGCCCGTAATCTGCCATGGGCCCCAGTACCGCCTCCTCATGCTGCTGCCAGGTCCAGAGTGTCTCATGGGTCCCCTTGCGCCTCCCATTGCATGCAGGTCTCCAGCACGCACACTCTGCACAACAGGTGCCTACTTGGACAGGTCCCTCCCACACTGCTGCTGTTCCCCTTTCTGTCATGGGCAACGAAGATTGACCTTTGGCCCCCATTGCTGCTGCCACTTTCTGGTCATGCCCTCCCATTGTAGCTGCCAGGTGGCTTCCACTTTCAGGTCCCTCACACGCGCGCGTTTCCATTTTGTCATAGGGTGCTGGCAGATTACGGGCCTCCCATTGCTGTGCCCAGGCCCGGAATCTGCCATGGGCCCCTGTACCGCCTCCTCATCAGCTGCTGCTGCAGGTCCACAGTGTCTCATGGGTCCCTGTACGGCCTCCCATTGCTGTCTCCATCGCCACACTCTGCCATGTGCCACTTTCAGGTCTCCTCACACTGCTGGTGTGTTCCATTTTGTCATAGGGTGCTGGCAGATTACGGGCCTCCCATTGCTGCTGCCAGGGCCCCGTAATCTGCCATGGGCCCCTTACCCCTCTCCTCATGCTGCTGCCAGGTCCAGTGTCTGCTGCCAGGCCCGTAATCTCATGGGTCCCTGTACCGCCTCCTCATGCTGCTGCCAGGTCCAGAGTCTCTCATGGGTCCCTGTACGGCCTCCCATTGCTGCTGTCTCCATCGCCACACTCTGCCATGTGCCACTTTCAGGTCTCCTCACACTGCTGGTGTGTTCCATTTTTTGTCATAGGGTGCTGGCAGATTACGGGCCTCCCATTGCTGCCAGGCCCGTAATCTGCCATGGGCCCCTGTACCGCCTCCTCATGCTGCTGCCAGGTCCAGAGTGTCTCTCATGGGTCCCTGTACGGCCTCCCATTGCTGCTGTCTCCATCGCCACACTCTGCCATGTGCCACTTTCAGGTCTCCTCACACTGCTGGTGTGTTCCATTTTGTCATAGGGTGCTGGCAGATTACGGGCCTCCCATTGCTGCTGCCAGGCCCGTAATCTGCCATGGGCCCCTGTACCGCCTCCTCATGCTGCTGCCAGGTCCAGAGTGTCTCATGGGTCCCTGTACGGCCTCCCATTGCTGCTGTCTCCATCGCCACACTCTGCCATGTGCCACTTTCAGGTCTCCTCACACTGCTGGTGTGTTCCATTTTTTCATAGGGTGCTGGCAGATTACGGGCCTCCCATTGCTGCTGCCAGGCCCGTAATCTGCCATGGGCCCCTGTACCGCCTCCTCATGCTGCTGCCAGGTCCAGAGTCTCTCATGGGTCCCTGTACGGCCTCCCATTGCTGCTGTCTCCATCGCCACACTCTGCCATGTGCCACTTTCAGGTCTCCTCACACTGCTGGTGTGTTCCATTTTTTGTCATAGGGTGCTGGCAGATTACGGGCCTCCCATTGCTGCTGCCAGGCCCGTAATCTGCCATGGGCCCCTGTACCGCCTCCTCATGCTGCTGCCAGGTCCAGAGTGTCTCATGGGTCCCTGTACGGCCTCCCATTGCTGCTGTCTCCATCGCCACACTCTGCCATGTGCCACTTTCAGGTCTCCTCACACTGCTGGTGTGTTCCATTTTGTCATAGGGTGCTGGCAGATTACGGGCCTCCCATTGCTGCTGCCAGGCCCGTAATCTGCCATGGGCCCCTGTACCGCCTCCTCATGCTGCCCAGGTCCACAGTGTCTCTCATGGGTCCCTGTACGGCCTCCCATTGCTGCTGTCTCCATCGCCACACTCTGCCATGTGCCACACTTCAGGTCTCCTCACACTGCTGGTGTGTTCCATCCATTTTGTCATAGGGTGCTGGCAGATTACGGGCCTCCCATTGCTGCTGCCAGGCCCGTAATCTGCCATGGGCCCCTGTACCGCCTCCTCATGCTGCTGCCAGGTCCACAGTGTCTCATGGGTCCCTGTACGGCCCATCCCATTGCTGCTGTCTCCATCGCCACACTCTGCCATGTGCCACTTTCAGGTCTCCTCACACTGCTGCTGTGTGTTCCATTTTGTCATAGGGTGCTGGCAGATTACGGGCCTCCCATTGCTGCTGCCAGGCCCGTAATCTGCCATGGGCCCCCGTACCGCCTCCTCATGCTGCTGCCAGGTCCAGAGTCTCTCATGGGTCCCTGTACGGCCTCCCATTGCTGCTGTCTCCATCGCCACACTCTGCCATGTGCCACTTTCAGGTCTCCTCACACTGCTGGTGTGTTCCATTTTTTGTCATAGGGTGCTGGCAGATTACGGGCCTCCCATTGCTGCTGCCAGGCCTGTAATCTGCCATGGGCCCCTGTACCGCCTCCTCATGCTGCTGCCAGGTCCACAGTGTCTCATGGGTCCCTGTACGGCCTCCCATTGCTGCTGTCTCCATCGCCACACTCTGCCATGTGCCACTTTCAGGTCTCCTCACACTGCTGGTGTGTTCCATTTTTTGTCATAGGGTGCTGGCAGATTACGGGCCTCCCATTGCTGCTGCCAGGCCCGTAATCTGCCATGGGCCCCTGTACCGCCTCCTCATGCTGCTGCCAGGTCCACAGTGTCTCATGGGTCCCTGTACGGCCTCCCATTGCTGCTGTCTCCATCGCCACACTCTGCCATGCCATGCCACTTTCAGGTCTCCTCACACTGCTGGTGTGTTCCATTTTGTCATAGGGTGCTGGCAGATTACGGGCCTCCCATTGCTGCTGCCAGGCCCGTAATAATCTGCCATGGGCCCCTGTACCGCCTCCTCATGCTGCTGCAGGTCCACAGTGTCTCATGGGTCCCTGTACGGCCTCCCATTGCTGCTGTCTCCATCGCCACACTCTGCCATGTGCCACTTTCAGGTCTCCTCACACTGCTGGTGTGTTCCATTTTGTCATAGGGTGCTGGCAGATTACGGGCCTCCCATTGCTGCTGCCAGGCCCGTAATCTGCCATGGGCCCCTGTACCGCCTCCTCATGCTGCTGCCAGGTCCACAGTGTCTCATGGGTCCCTGTACGGCCTCCCATTGCTGCTGTCTCCATCGCCACACTCTGCCATGTGCCACTTTCAGGTCTCCTCACACTGCTGGTGTGTTCCATTTTTTGTCATAGGGTGCTGGCAGATTACGGGCCTCCCATTGCTGCTGCCAGGCCCGTAATCTGCCATGGGCCCCCCTGTACCGCCTCCTCATGCTGCTGCCAGGTCCAGAGTGTCTCATGGGTCCCTGTACGGCCTCCCATTGCTGCTGTCTCCATCGCCACACTCTGCCATGTGCCACTTTCAGGTCTCCTCACACTGCTGGTGTGTTCCATTTTTCATAGGGTGCTGGCAGATTACGGGCCTCCCATTGCTGCTGCCAGGCCCGTAATCTGCCATGGGCCCCCGTACCGCCTCCTCATGCTGCTGCCAGGTCCAGAGTCTCTCATGGGTCCCTGTACGGCCTCCCATTGCTGCTGTCTCCATCGCCACACTCTGCCATGTGCCACTTTCAGGTCTCCTCACACTGCTGGTGTGTTCCATTTTTTGTCATAGGGTGCTGGCAGATTACGGGCCTCCCATTGCTGCTGCCAGGCCTTAATCTGCCATGGGCCCCTGTACCGCCTCCTCATGCTGCTGCCAGGTCCAGAGTGTCTCATGGGTCCCTGTACGGCCTCCCATTGCTGCTGTCTCCATCGCCACACTCTGCCATGTGCCACTTTCAGGTCTCCTCACACTGCTGGTGTGTTCCATTTTTTGTCATAGGGTGCTGGCAGATTACGGGCCTCCCATTGCTGCTGCCAGGCCCGTAATCTGCCATGGGCCCCTGTACCGCCTCCTCATGCTGCTGCCAGGTCCAGAGTGTCTCATGGGTCCCTGTACGGCCTCCCATTGCTGCTGTCTCCATCGCCACACTCTGCCATGTGCCACTTTCAGGTCTCCTCACACTGCTGGTGTGTTCCATTTTGTCATAGGGTGCTGGCAGATTACGGGCCTCCCATTGCTGCTGCCAGGCCCGTAATCTGCCATGGGCCCCTGTACCGCCTCCTCATGCTGCTGCCAGGTCCAGAGTGTCTCATGGGTCCCTGTACGCCCTCCCATTGCTGCTGTCTCCATCGCCACACTCTGCCATGTGCCACTTTCAGGTCTCCTCACACTGCTGGTGTGTTCCATTTTGTCATAGGGTGCTGGCAGATTACGGGCCTCCCATTGCTTCTGCCAGGCCCGTAATCTGCCATGGGCCCCCGTACCGACTCCTCATGCTGCTGCCAGGTCCAGAGTCTCTCATGGGTCCCTGTACGGCCTCCCATTGCTGCTGTCTCCATCGCCACACTCTGCCATGTGCCACTTTCAGGTCTCCTCACACTGCTGGTGTGTTCTCCATTTTTTGTCATAGGGTGCTGGCAGATTACGGGCCTTCCCATTGCTGCTGCAGGCCTGTAATCTGCCATGGGCCCCTGTACCGCCTCCTCATGCTGCTGCCAGGTCCACAGTGTCTCATGGGTCCCTGTTACGGCCTCCCATTGCTGCTGTCTCCATCGCCACACTCTGCCATGTGCCACTTTCAGGTCTCCTCACACTGCTGGTGTGTTCCATTTTGTCATAGGGTGCTGGCAGATTACGGGCCTCCCATTGCTGCTGCCAGGCCCGTAATCTGCCATGGGCCCCTGTACCGCCCTCCTCATGCTGCTGCCAGGTCCACAGTGTCTCTCATGGGTCCCTGTACGGCCTCCCATTGCTGCTGTCTCCATCGCCACACTCTGCCATGTGCCACTTTCAGGTCTCCTCACACTGCTGGTGTGTTCCATTTTTTGTCATAGGGTGCTGGCAGATTACGGGCCTCCCATTGCTGCTGCCAGGCCCGTAATCTGCCATGGGCCCCTGTACCGCCTCCTCATGCTGCTGCCAGGTCCACAGTGTCTCATGGGTCCCTGTACGGCCTCCCATTGCTGCTGTCTCCATCGCCACACTCTGCCATGTGCCACTTTCAGGTCTCCTCACACTGCTGGTGTGTTCCATTTTGTCATAGGGTGCTGGCAGATTACGGCCTCCCATTGCTGCTGCCAGGCCCGTAATCTGCCATGGGCCCCTGTACCACCTCCTCATGCTGCTGCCAGGTCCACAGTGTCTCATGGGTCCCTGTACGGCCTCCCATTGCTGCTGTCTCCATCGCCACACTCTGCCATGTGCCACTTTTCAGGAACGTCCTGGAACAAATGCTGTTAACAATGGCTGGTCAGGGTGCGGTAGACGTGGCGCACAGATCTCAACGCCACATGACCCCTGTGGGGGCAGGACAGGAAGAAGAGGAGGAGGTAGAGGAGGACATTGGTGCTCAGGAAATATTGAGTGAAATGGGTGGTTTTTCCACTCAGCGGACAGGAGTGGAGGAGCAGAGCATCTGGTAGAGGAGGAGGAGGAGGAGACAGAGGAACCAGACGCACCGTGGCAGTATGCTGTGGAGATGGAGGCAGGGAGTCCCTCGCATTCCTTGGCACAAATGGCCCATAGCATGCTCGGTTGCTTGCGTAGCGACAGCCGAATAATAACCATCAGACAGAGGGATAACTTTTGGCTGTCCACCTTGTTGGACCCTCGCTACCGTTCAAAAATGGTGGCCTTTTTCACACCTGCTGAGAGGGAGGCCAAAATAACGTACTATAAAAACCACCTATATAGTCAGCTGGTCTCTGCCTTTCTGCGCCAACGTCCATCCTCAGACACTGTGGGCCCTGTGCGCTTGCGTTCCGCTGCCATGGCAGCAGGGGAGGGGTGGGGTGGTAGGAGCAGTGGCAGCTCCACCAGCAGCGGCTGCCTCAGTCTGCAGTTGATGATGAGTAGCTTTCTTCACCAGCGCAGTGAGGAAACTACTAACCAGCCGCAGCAGCAGCAGCATCAGGTGGACCTGGAGCACGACCTCAAACAACAGGCTTGGGCCTACTTGGACAGCACCCTGCCAACCGAGGCAGACAATCCCCTTGACTACTGGGCAACGAAACTTGACCTTTGGCCCCAACTAGCTGAATTTGCCCTTGAAAGGCTGTCATGCCCGGCCAGTAGCGTGGCATCGGAGCGCGCGTGTTTAGTGCGGCAGGAGGTATTGTAACTCCGCGGAGGACACGACTGTCCACCCAAAGTGTGGAGAGACTCACGTTTGTGAAAATGAATCAGGCGTGGATTAGTCTGGATTTCAAACCACCAGTTCCTGACACAAACTGACTAAATCCGCCATGAATCATGCCCCAAACATGTGCCACTTTCAGGTCTCCTCACACTGCTGGTGGGTTCCATTTTGTCATAGGGTGCTGGAAGATTACGGGCCTCCCATTGCTGCTGCCAGGCTCGTAATCTGCCATGGGCCCCTGTACCCGCCTCCTCATGCTGCTGCCAGGTCCAGAGTGTGTCATGGGTCCCTGTACAGCCTCCCATTGCTGCTGTCTCCATCGCCACACTCTGCCATGTGCCACTTTCAGGTCTCCTCACACTGCTGGTGTGTTCCATTTTGTCATAGGGTGCTGGCAGATTACGGGCCTCCCATTGCTGCTGCCAGGCCCGTAATCTGCCATGGGCCCCTGTACTGCCTCCTCATGCTGCTGCCAGGTCCACAGTGTCTCATGGGTCCCTGTACGGCCTCCCATTGCTGCTGTCTCCATCGCCACACTCTGCCATGTGCCACTTTCAGGTCTCCTCACACTGCTGGTGGGTTCCATTTTTGTCATAGGGTGCTGTATGGCCTCCCATTGCTGCTGCCTCCACCGCCACACTGTGGCTCCACACTCTGGTTTTGACCCCGTGACTGCCCAAATGAGTGAAGTGTGCGGTGATTCTAAGATCGACGGCACTCATCTGCATGTCATACTGACTGACAGTATTATTTTCTCTTCCCCAGCAGACTCCAAGGGCATTTAAATTAAAGGTACAGTGTTCTGCACTAATATAAAGGCTCTCTGAAGCCTAGAAACACCCTTTTATAAGTTAAATTCGCAGCGAATATATTCGCATCGAATCAAATTTATTCCTCGAAGTCGCCGAATCAGCCGAATCGAATTTTTGAATACTTCGCTCATCTCTAGTCGTGACGTCAGACTCAATACCGGAAGGAGCGACGCGGCCATCTTGGTTTTGGAATTTGGCTGTGTGAATTACTGGAAGGATGGACGGTTCCTATGTTTGATGTAAGATGGAAATAAAATACTGTATATGTGTTACCCTTATATACTCCACTGAATTTGTCCTTTCTGCCTTATGAGGAGCGGGGGAGATTGAGGTGGATACATCCACAGGGAGAAAGTTATAACTACCCTGGAGTGCTTGTATTGCTAGTTTAAACAGAAAGAGGGTAATTGTATGAAATCCTACTAAAGTGTGAAACCACTAAATTGAGCACAATATCACGGATTGTGTAATTGCTGTGGATTTATTTTCACGAGTGAAGAGTCACAGATTGTTCATTTATAAATTGAAGTATTTAGTGTGGTATTTATGTTTATTTAC